AGCAACTTAATCTATACAATGATTTGCTTTATATTGAGTTTTCACATTTGGCTATCTGGGATAATATTGCCATGTAATGCGCTTTATAAAACCCTAAAACTTTCGTTTGAAACATTTTGGTCAAAAACTTAAATCTTTCAAGTTATGCAAGGGCTTCGACCTTTTTTGTACATTCTGTATATACAATTTCAATGTAATTGAATATTTGAATATTTAAATATTCTGTTTATGTATACAATACAATTATTCATTATTATACCAAAGTTTTCAATATACTTGTAGTTACTTCTGAAAACTTAAAATTTCTAATTTAACAAAGAGTTGAAACTCTTGAGATTCAAAATCAACAACGCAATGCAAAATTTAATTGATCAATGAGAGCCTACGCTAGATGTTCATGCAAAATAAATAAATAAATATATGTATAGATATATACATATATACACACACACACACATATATATATATATATTTCTATTGTTCTTTTGTAAATTTTTACACGTGAAGTTTGAATTAAAATATCAATTTGTAAGGTCATATAAGATGTTGGATTTGCATTATATACATATATAGGAAATGTACGTTTACTTCTTATCTAATTATATTGTGAAAAAAACTTCTCGGTTAGGAGTCAAACCTGGAATCTCTCGCTTTTTGTGCAATCTTTTTCAATTCGACCACCGTGAGACACTTAGGGTTTCTCTCGCACAATATTGGTATAATAAGCTCTGAGATTAACACCATCTGCCATTATAACAACTTAACAAAGAGTTGAGGCTCTTGAGATTTAAAATCAACAACGTTTTAAAACTTGTAAACATTTCGATATTTTTAAATATTTCCTTTGAAATTCATAAATACTTTCTTTTATAATTATTTCTTTTGACACTATTTGCGATGTCACTATAAGAGTACAAAAAAGAAAATCTTAAATAATATAATATGTTGAATAAAGATATTTTTTATGTTCAACTAGTTCTCATCTTTATATATATTTAGTTTTGACCTTGTTGATGACAGCACACTTTCCAATCTTATATAGTGTGACGAGAAACACACCGTATTATCTAGAATTAAATTAAGACGAAATGGTCACCATTGTATCTTGCGTTCTTTTTGTGTTGCATCATATATTGAGTCAATACATCTCATTATACATGTATATTTAATATAAATATATATATTTATTTATAATATATATATTTATTTATTTAATTGTCAAGTTTCATACTAACCTGGTTTACACCGATCGCTTTATTACGCGTATTAAGTACTATATTCGTAAATCAGCTTGGTCTCAATAATGTAAACACTATCATATTAAACAAGTTACGCGTATACGTCTTCTTCACACATATTGTATCAAAATGGTACGCATATCAAGCACATTTATAATAATGTAAACACCAGAATTATACATTGAAAAACAAATTGTATTTGATTCACGTATTCACAAAAAAGCCATCTTTTTACATTAAAATCTAATACGTTTTTCTAATATTTATTTCTGTATCACTTTGTCATATCAGGTGGACCATCAATTTGTTCAAAACAGGATACAGAAAAAATCTAGAGATAGAGGACTTGTATGATCCTTTGAAAACTGATCGATCAAATGTGCTCGGAGATCGATTAGAAAAGTGAGTATCAAAGTTACTACATATATGAAAAGAGAGACAAATATTTTAACAATATTTTAATTACAAAACAAATTATGGGATAATTGTATGATTATAGACATTGGAAAGTCGAGCTGGAAAATTCAAAAAAACGGAAACGCAAACCGAGTCTGCTAATTACGATTTTTCTTACTTTTTTAAAGGAATATTCCATATTAGGAATAATACAAGTGCTCAACGAGTTTGTGATAAGGTATATTAACACTAAAATAATAATGAGTCGATGTATTTTTGATAATTCCAACACATTTTTATCTTCTAAGTCAATAAGGGCATAGCTCGACGCTTTATATAAGCTATACATATTTTGTAGCATAAGAAACATTTATAAATCTGTTCTTAATTGCTTAAGATATTGAGCGTTTTAAGTAAAACTATAAAAATATTTAAAAATATGCAATTTACATAGTTGCGCCATCCCTGCTTATCTCTTGTATCCGACTTGTAATAAATCAACTATTTTTATTAATAACTCAAAAAGTAAGCTTCAGACAAAATTTTACCGAATAAAAAGTTGTCTGTATTTGTCGATGTATGCTTATTCGTGGATCTTTGTTAATTAAGATCTCGATAACTATTGCAATCCTTGCAAAATGGTAAAGAACTGTTTGACTTAAGTTTACTCTTTCTACCTGCCTAAAAAAGATTACACCAATTGTCGAACACTTTGTATATACAAGGTGTCCAAAAAAGATCGGAACCCCTGAATATTTCAGAAAAATATAAGTCTTATAGAAAAGTATTTTAGACAAAAGTTGTAGGGTATAGAAAAATCTATTTACTGATTGTATCAGTGTGATTGTATCATGCTTCAAGGCGCCAAGATCAGGTCAAGGTCACATTACTTTTTTTCAATGGAACTCTATTTTTTTATTGCAGATTCTTATAACTTAATTCAAGAGCTTTTTAAAACATTATAATGAAGTTTAATTTTATTAAGTACTTTTTGAGTTATGAGTCATTATAGTGTTTTGGAAAGCTCCTTAATTAAGCTATAAGAATCTGCAATAAAAAATAAAAATTAACTTTAATAATAATAAATTTTAGGCTCTCATTATTATTAATGTTACTCTTTATTTTTTATTGCATTTATTAAGTTACAAACTATCCTCGAAATATATACAGGGTGATTCAGAACAAGCCTTTATCCTTGAAAATACATATTCTTGGCTAAATTCTAAAACAACTTTTTATTTGACAAAATTTTGTCTAAAGCTTTCTTTTTGAGTTATTAATAAAAATAGGTGACTCACGAGTCGGATACAAGAGGTAAACAGGGGCGCAACCCACCGTGATTGACAGTGATTTATATGATGCACGGATTAAGTAAATACAAATTACAAATGACTAAATAAATAAGTGAGAGAAAAAGAAAGAAAGAGAGAGAGAAACAGAGACAGATACAGAAACAGTGTGTAGGGATCAGCTGATCGCGTCAGGCACCATACCTTATCGCCTGCGTCTGACGGTAAGTTCCGTCACTCCTGCCTACCTCTTGTATCCGACTCGTGATAAGTCCTATTTTTATTAATAACTCAAAAAGTAAGCTTCAGACAAAATTTTGTCAAATAAAAAGTTGTTTTAGAATTTAGTCAAGAATATGTATTTTCAAGGATAAAGGGTTGTCCTAAATCACCTTGTATATAGTCAGTAGAGTTAGACGCTGGTGTTTGTTGCGGATATATATATATATACATATTTCCGCAACATTATCTATTTTGAAGATAAATTGGCTGCGGTCCGTTTCATGCTTAAGCGCACATTTATCTATAGTATACGTGACATATATCACAGATAAATGCACGATTAAGCATGAAACGGACCGCATTGTAAACAAACAGCCATTGTAAAAAATAAGGAGTTCCATTTTAAAAAATCGATGTGACCTTGGCGGCGCCATCCAAGGTCACACTGATACAATCGGTAAATAGATCCTTTTACTATATATTTAACCTCTACAACTTTTGTCTGAAACACTTTTTTGTGAGACTTATGTTTTCTGAGATATTCAGAAGTTCCGACCTTTTTTGGACACCCTGTATATATCAAATTGAAAACACATAATATTATCTGCAGACTTGGCACGCCGTTCTTATTGGGAGGTCTTCTGCGTTATTTTCGAAAAGATTCGGTGGAACTCCTTGAAATCGCGCTAGCTTACGGGGCTGGTATATGCATAGCGACCGCTGTGAACGTACTAAGCGGCAGTCAGGCACTTTTCGGAGCTTTTCATGTGGGTGCCAAAGTTCGCGTGGCCGTTTGCTCCGTGGTATACAGAAAGGTCAGTTACATAAACTTTTTGGTTGATTATTCACAAAAAAAATTCCTCTTTGAATTTTGCAAAATGATTTAATATTTTTATAATAGTACCCTAATAGGCACATTTGTGAAAATATTGCACAAAAATGGCATCATGAATGGCGACGATTTTGCAATGATTGCACTAAGATGATTCGCTATAACGCAACAGTTTTGTCGAAATAAAATTTTATAAATATTATTTGTCAAAAATTGCAAAAAAGTCGTTATGCATTTTCACAGTATATACCTCCAATAGACAAATTGTGAAAATATTGCACAAATATAACATCATGAGTGACGACGATTTCTTGCATTTCTACATATGCAATCATATTTTTACATATTTTAAACATCACATAGCTGAATTTCTTTTCTCAATTATTGGACAATTTCTTTGTGAAATTAATTTTGCAAATATACTGCTAAAATGCCCTGACAAAAATGAGAAGTTTTATAAGTTTTATTTGACGTTTGTATGAGCGTTTTGCGGAAATTTGTTGAAAGTTTTGAAACGGTCAGTAGAGACTTCATAGGGCGAACATTGCAACGCTACAGCGTTTGAAAGGCGTTTGTATAAAGCGTTTCTGAAAGTTTGCATAGTGTTTACGTTAAGCGTAAGACAAAACAAAATAGTTTATTAACTTAAATACATCTAAAAATTCAATAAGAGAATTTTTCGCGACTCGCGCTTTTACACAGCTAAGAGATTTTACTTGAATTAATTTTTGGAAGCCCGGTTCAGCTCGCCAATCAACTGATAAATTCCATTAAAAGGGACCGGACCTGAAAAAATCCTAAGATAATAGCGGGATTCGAACTCGAGACGCCTCTCTCCGTCGTATTCGCATGCACTCAGTCCGCAAGACTACTTGTTCTTTACTAAAAAAATTATTTTTATCTACTTATTCTCACGCTATCTTACACACAGTTCATTTATTATTTCTTCAAAATATTATTTTATTAAAAATATTGTAGTGCAATGTACTTGCAATGAGTAAAAATATTTATCTCTCTTATTACTATTAAATATGATTTAAAGTACATTTTTACAACGCAACCAAATTTTAACATTGTGTCTCAAATAATGCTATATTTAAATCAAATATAGTCTGTTACATTTATGTTATTTGAATGCAACAAATGAGTCAAACAAATCGGATTATTAAATTTAAANAAACCGTTCTCTCTGTGTATAAACTTGTAAGCGTTTGTAAGTGTTTAATAATTGTTAATCTGGACTTCAATTCTTAAATTTAAAAATATATACTAATTAGTAATTATATTAAATAATGTAATATATTAAATATAATATATTAAACTACATAAAGCTATTATATAAAACTATTACATAAAATTAATCTCAATATAATTAAATAATTTAATATATTAAATATATGTAATATATATATATCAATAGTCTTCTTATTCTTACAATAAACTGAGTTATAATAAATGAATTGATTTTTAATGTGTAGTTTTTAATATTTTTTATTACTTACTCATAAAAGCATTTGCTAACCGTTTGAAAAGTCTGTCAGCAAACTCTTTGTACAAAAATTTATCAGTAGTTATTGAGCGTTTTGTGAAAAGCGTTACCTTCGCATTGCAGAATGTTTAGGAAACATTATATATAGCGTTTGATAAGCGTTCCAAAAGAGTTCAACCCTTTTGACGTTATATAAGCATTCTTCTAAAGTTGGAAAGTGTATAAACTCTCAGAAAATTCTCATTAAACGGTTATCAACGCTCTGTAAAGCTTCATATTTTCGTCAGGGTGATTCGCCAAATCGTTATTCTTTTGCCGAAATAGTATTTGGAAAGTAATTTTGCAAACAACTACAAATATTTCAGAAAAGATCAATGTTTTTGCATCTATTTTCTAAAATATGTCTGTATAATTGCAAATTACAATTTTAGTGCAAGATTTCGTCACATAATTTTGTAAATGGTTTCCTATCAGGGTATCGAATCAAAATTGACCAGTTAAGAAATCACATATGTTATGCACATTATATTGATACAATATTGATTTTCTAAAATCTTGTAATTTTCCTTGTACAATATGACTTATCAGTACATATATCTTAGTATACAAGTTACGTAATGTGTGCGGTTGCAGGCTTTACGACTGAGCAAAACCGCATTGAACGAGACAGCAGCAGGAAAGGTAGTCAACTTAGTGGCCAACGATGTCAATAGGTTCGATCTCGTTTCCATTTTAATTCATTACATGTGGTCGGCACCTTTGCAGGCCTTGATTGTGGCCTATATCCTTTACCATGAGGTCGGCATCTCTGGTCTTATCGGAGCTTTTGCCACTCTTCTAGTTGTACCGCTTCAATGTGAATACCTTCAGATATATTCATTAATTAAAAATCAGAATTGATGTTCATTCATTAGATTAAAAAAGTTTTCTGAATTACAGCCTATACTGGTAAACTCTCGTCGAGATTCCGTCTCCAAACTGCCATCAAGACGGACAAACGGGTTCGACTAATGGATGAGATTATTTCCGGGGTACAGGTGATCAAAATGTACGCTTGGGAGAAACCGTTCTGCGCTATGATCGAGCTGGCACGGAAACTCGAGCTGCGAGTGGTCACCAAAAGTTCTTATATCCGTGGAATTTACATGACCTTTAATCTCTTTACAACACGTATGGCGCTGTACAGCACACTCATAACGATGCTGTTGTTCAACGACGATATCACCGCTGACAAAATCTTTGTCGTTTCGTCTTACTTCAACATCCTCTCGCACACTCTCACTGGCATGTTCGTGCGCGGGTACGCTGAGTTGAACGAGTGCATGGTGGCCATTAGACGATTGCAGAATTTTTTGGAGCTCGAAGAATTTCATGACGGCAACGTCGTTAATAAATTGTCGTCCTCCAACGATACGCTACACGATAATTCAACAACCAAAGAATCTCCTGACGAGCCAGATCTACCTTACATTGACGACGACGTAGTCGAAAACACAAGCGAAAGCATCAGTATCGAGAACAGCAAGAAGCCGAACGGATTAGTTGTGGCCATTGATTTACTGAATAATAGCACTAATCATGTTGAAGGTAAATTTACGAGTTAAGGATTTGTAAGCTATTTTTTGTAAGATTTCTTTTAAAAGATACATATAGATGTCCTTTTAATTTATTTATTTTTATCGAAAAATCTTCATTATTCACAGAGAAAAAACAATCAGTCAACGAGAAGTGGGCCATCAACATGATCGACGTGACTGCCAAGTGGCTGAGCAAACAACCGGAGAACACTCTGGAAGACTTGAATCTGGGAATAGAAAAGGGAAAGTTATACGCGGTCATTGGCATGGTGGGCAGTGGGAAAAGCTCTTTTTTATCCACCATTTTAGGCGAGCTTAGCCTGATAAAGGGCCAGATAAAGGTGAACGGCAGCATCAGTTATGCCAGTCAGGAGGCCTGGGTCTTTGGAGCTTCTATTCGGCAGAATATATTATTCGGACAGCCCTACAATCGTCAACGTTATCAGAAAGTGATCATAGCTTGCGCTTTGCCGCGCGACTTTGAACAGTTTCCTCAAGGAGATCAGACCATTGTGGGAGAAAGAGGCAGCTCGGTGTCCGGCGGTCAAAAGGCCAGGATTAACTTGGCCAGAGCTCTGTATAGACAATCGGATATTTATCTTCTAGATGATCCTCTAAGTGCGGTGAGAGACCAGCATCAAATTAATAGTGATGCTTTAGAATTTGTTTTTGGAGTAAATTCATAGATTTGTCGGTCGGTTTACCATTCCAGGTTGATGCTCACGTCAGTAAGCATCTGTTCCAAAAGTGCATTCAGAGATATCTGGCTGGAAAGACCACAATCTTGGCAACGCATCAACTGCAGTACATAAAGAGTGTCGATGCTATTATCTTGCTTGAGCAAGGAAAAATTAAATACTTCTCGCATTATATGGATCTACTGGCCTATCGACCTGAGTACGGAATACTTTTGGCAGCAGAGGATGAAACGACCGACGAGTCGACCTCAGAAATAAATATAAATTTACGACGACAGTTTTCTACTTCAAGTAATGGAGTAAGAGAAAAGAATTATATATACATGTCATTTGTAAATAAAAATCTATTTCTGAGAGCATAACAAATTTTGTGTCGTTTCAAATATTTAAATAAAGTAATATTGCTACCAATAATATGGTTTTTTAACAGAGTCGTACTCCGGAAATTACGGACGATGAGGAAGAAGATGAAAACGCCGAACGAATAAACGGTCTGGAAACGACATCACGTGGCTTGGTTAAAGGTCCTATATTTATGAAGTTTTTCCAAGTCGGTTCCAACTTGATCTTAGACTTTATTGTTGTACTTTTGTTTATTACTACGCAATTTGTCGTCAGTTCCTGCGATTACTTCGTGCCTTATATGTAAGTATCAAAATATATGAGATAGTCCTCACATTATATGAGAGAAAAATAATTAATTTTTAGATTGCCACTATTTTCACATTATAGAAGATAATAATAATTAATTTTTAAACCGCCAGCATTTTTTTATGAAACAAATGGTACTTTTTTCACAATAATTTATATAAAGTGAATTTATTTTCTTGCGTGGAGTACTCTAGATTTCACCTGGCTCCAATCGGCGCCAGGCCGTCGGAGAACAGAAGTTGAAAAGTATAAAATTTAAAAATTTTGAAATATGATGTTTCTCGGTGTTTTTCAAATTGCTACTACGTCTTTGAAATCCAAGTGCAAAAATCTTTTTCTACTACAGTACCATTATTACCAAGCTAATCATAAAAATATATAAATTTTGTCAGAGTACAACGAATTTGAAAGCTAAAATATATCATTCACTCACATATTTAAATTTCCTAAAAGATTTCTCACAAATCAAGTCAGATAAAAGAGAACTCTTCTTCAAAATACGATGATATAAGCGTCCCCATAGTGATGCCATACAGCATCATACTAACGATCTACAAGTTAAGAATATTTTGTTTTTACTTACTTTCCTCTAGAATCAATACTGAAGAAGCGCGGAAATACAAAACTAGAGTTTACTTGAATCTAACAGAAGATATTTATACAAACAAAACAAACCCGGTCATCCAGAATTTATTGCCGAGGACTACTTATATCTATATTTACACCGGCATTGTCCTGGGCATCTTTTTTATCGGCATTACCAGATCATTGGTGTTCTACAAAACATGCATCACATGCTGTCAACGTCTGCATGATATGATGTTTAATGCGCTGATTCGTACGGGAATGCGATTTTTTGACACTAACCCGAGTGGCCGGATTCTGAACAGATTTTCCAAGGATATGGGCGCGATCGACGAGCTGTTACCAAAAGTGATCCTCGACGCTTGTCAGATGAACTTGATGATGATTGGCTCTCTGGTAGTAACCTGCATCATCAATCCCATTTTCCTAGTACCGGTTATATTCATAAGCACGATCATCTATTGGATCCGAAAAATGTATCTAAAGACCAGTAAGAACATCAAGCGACTGGAAGGAATAGCACGATCTCCGGTGTTCACTCACTTGAATGCTACGCTAAACGGCCTGACGACTATCAGAGCATACTGCGCTCAGGACATACTCAAACGGGAATTCGACAAATTGCAAGATTATCACACGTCCACTGTCTACATGTATATTGTGACCAGCACGGCGTTCGGATTCACTCTCGATGTGTTTTGCTTTGTCTTTATCTCGTTCGTCACTTTCAGCTTTTTGTTGCTCAATCAGACATTTTCTGACGACGAGGTCGGACTAGCTATCACCCAGGTAATGACAATAACTGGGTTGATTCAATGGGGAATGCGACAAAGCGCGGAAGTGGCGAACCAGATGATGGCGGTGGAACGTGTACTCGAATATATTCAGCTACCGCCGGAACCGAATTTGCGTGACAGAGGCGCGTACTTGAAGAAAAAAGAGAGTCAAAATCTGTCTCTGCCCGCTAGCGCTCCCAATGGCTGGCCCGACGCAGGTTGCATTCAGTTCATCAATGTCTATATGAAGTACTCGGATGACGATCCGTACGTTCTCAAGAATTTGAATATTGTGATGCGTCCCGGAGAGAAGGTATGGAAAAAAATTTGGTATGATGTAAATGTAAAAACACGTAAGAGTTAATGAAAATGTCCATATAATTTATTATACAGATTGGTATCGTAGGAAGAACAGGTGCTGGAAAATCGTCACTTATAACAGCTCTCTTCCGACTAGCGAAAGTAGAGGGAATTATTAAGATCGACGGTATAGATACGAGTCAGATTGCTTTGGAGGATTTGCGCGGCAAGATATCTATTATACCCCAGGATCCCGTTTTGTTCTCGGGTACACTGAGACGTAATCTGGATCCGTTCAACGAGTTTTCCGATCTCGCTGTATGGGAAGCGCTCGAAGAGGTTGACAAAAAAATAATTTGTACTTTGTTAAAATAAAAATTTCTTTTCGTAAATCGAAGGTGAAAACATATCATGGATAATATGCTGCAGGTCGAGCTGAAAGACGCGGCTGTTATCAATAATGGTCTGGAAAGTCGCGTGTTTGACAGAGGTAGCAACTACAGTGTCGGACAGAAGCAGCTTGTGTGTTTGGCAAGAGCTATCTTAAGGAACAATCGTATTTTGATGTTGGACGAAGCGACCGCTAATGTAGATCCTCACACAGACGCGTTGATTCAGTGCACTATTAGGAAGAAGTTCACGACCTGTACGATGCTCACGATAGCGCATCGACTGCACACTATAATGGACAGCGACAAGGTCCTCGTGATGGATAAAGGTCGTATGGTCGAGTATGATCATCCCTACATGTTACTACAAAACAGTCAGAGTCAATTCACGTCATTGGTGAGAGAAACCGATCCGGGTATGCATGAACAACTGGCCAAAGTGGCGAAACAAGCGTACGACGCCAAATACAGAAAAACATGACAATGCACCGGACATGAAATAACATGAAGCTTTTTTGTCATTCAAATTTTCATATGCTTAATCGTGATAGAAATGAAAGTAAATCAGTGAATATCTAATTTTAGGTAAAGTTCCGTAGATTTTCTTGTGACGTATGTCACGATACCGATATTCTTTTCTCACTCAACTTAATAACTTTGACCTCGCCTATCTCTGAAACGAAAAATAGGCTCAATGTGAAATTTTTCTGTGATCAATGTCTTATCATAAGCTAACATTTAGCACACTATTTGATTCAAAATTTGAGGATCCTGGGCGAAAACGGGCAAAATTTCACTTCTTTTTGGAGCCACTCTTTGTGCAACACATCCGAAACATATTGGACAAAAAAAAAAAACAAAACAGGAAAGGAAACAATTATTTATGCACAAATATTTAACACAAATGAATGAAGTTTATCCACTGAAGAGAAAAACTTATTGCATGATTTTTAAGATATTTAGCTTTGAACAAGCACGATACTGTAGCGAGTATTATAATCACCACGTGTTTGCGATACTGAATGTATTTCTATATAAAACGATGTTGAACTATTATAAATCTCTATAGATATTAATAGAAATCAATAAAACTAATCGATATTAAAAGAATTGTATTTTTACATTGTATTTAATAATGGTTAAAGTTGCGGTGAGTTTTTTTCACGTACAAGTCTAAATAAAATAAAATAAAATAAAAAAATTACACTACTCACACATATTTTTCTACTCTACGCTTTATGTACTTCCAGAAACTATAAACGTTTCTCGCTCTGTGATAAGCATTTGCGTTTATAGATATATGAACATATATAAAAACAAACTGAGAACTGTGTATGTGATGTGTACAATTTTTATATTTGTTAAAACAAACATCAGAACAAATAAAATAAGATATACCTAAGACATAACATTTATTATCAACGTTATGAGTAGTATAGTTTCGGACATTTTTATTGTGGATATTTTACTATACTTAGAATAGACTTAGACTGTAAATAGGTCATACAAAAATTGAATAAAAATCCACAGTGATGACGCTAAAAGATATTTCATCTTAATTTGAATATTTAACAAACGCTACGAGTACTTATTTTTTGTTATTACAGATAAGGGCTCAATATTTTTAGAAACCGCATTTATGGAATATAACTGCGAGCATCTCTCTTATATATTATTTATATGTTGTACACATTATTTGTATATAATTTTGTCAGAATATTAAAAAGTATTTATGAAAGTATATGCGTAATTATGTAAATAATATAATAGTATTAGATAATGCGCAGTAGCGATATTACAGATTAATTTTAACAAAATGAAAAAAGACTTTGTTCTTTAAACAAAAAAGCAAAGAAGAAATACTAATAAAAATCTAACATTCTTATAGCGTGTGATACTAAAAGTGAAGAACAGATTTCATTATAAACACAAAACTCAAAAACGTTACGCATTACATAAGTTTTTTTCCTTAATTTTTGTCACAATCTCGAAAATATTTGCAATTTAGTCTGTAGTATAATACTCACTTTTATAAGATTGTTAGACCCTTATTGGTCTATTCCTTTTTTTGATCAACTAACGTGATGTATCTATTTCTATTGTATTGCTATATATATAGAGTATTAAGAGAGAAAGTGATAATATACAGCTCCTATAAATAATATATAATTCTCTTTATATATATTTCTGGTATTAAATTATTATTGGTGAATTCTAGTAAGTACTTGTGGAATAAAAAATTTAGATATTCATTGTTACGCAGTGTTGCTGACATGCTAAAAGATAATAAATTTATCTATTACAACATATTTTTATTTTGAAAACTTTGCAAATATGTTTAAAATAAACTTTACAATATTTACTTATAGATACCTATGTTATATTTTCTTGTTCTTGAGTTTGAATGTATCACATCAAGAGGCACGGTTTTGGTTTGGTTTGGTGCGCTTGTGGCTCTTGGACCTATAACGGTTAGTCCATACGCCATTCTATGACTGATTTGTGTTTGGTGGGAGAGCGGTAGCTTTCCACCAGACGGCGCACACTCATTAGACGGAGTGTGTTTGAGGAATGTCTGACTGTTTGGTTTAGGC